ACCCTCCCCGAACCTACCTCGTTCTTACACCTCGGTCCGACCGTAGTGGATCCCCATCTCGGCCCTCCCACCTGCCACTTCACGACGGCCCTCGCCTCTCCTCCCCAGCTTGCCCGAATCCAGTCGGTCCTTGTTCCAGATCGGGAACTGAACAGTTCGCGCCGGCTAGTGGACCCGCGCGACTCTGCCCCAGCTCTGCACCCCCTTAATAGAATCCTACTAGAGCTGCGTGCAGCTCTAATAGAATCCTACTAGAGCTGCGTCCAGCTCACCCAGCGCGATCCCAATGAGCCCCCAGTGCGCTCCAGCATGGCGCATTCGAGGGAGCGCTCTCAGGGCGCTCACAGAACGCTCCCAGGGACAGGAGGGAGGGCTCCCAGGGCGCTGCCAGTGAGTTTCCAGGAAACGAGCCCAGAGCGCTGGCAGGGCGCTTCCACGGCGTCCCCAAGGAGCGCTCCCAGTGCGCTCCAGCGCTTCCAGGGCGGCCACAGGGAGCGCTCCCACGGCGCTCCAAATGCGCTCCCAGGGCGCCCCTATGGCATATGGCACCCTGAAGTGCACTCCCAATGCACCCCAAGGAGCGCCCTCAGTGTGACCCCAGCGCCCCCCCAGCGCGATCCCAATGCACCCCAGGGAGCGCTCCCAGTGCGCCCCCAGCGCCTCCCCCAGCGCGATCCAAATGCGTTCCAAGGAGCGTGCCCAGGGCGCACAGGGAGCGCCCCCATAACGTTCGCAAGGAGCGTACCCAGTGCGCCCCCAAGGGTAGAATGGCATGCGCCTTCCCCTCCCCCTGTTCCGCCCTTCCTCCCCCGCCCAGTTGCGCCGTTGGTTGCGCTTCCCTCCGGCCTGTTGCGCCCCCCCCCCCCCCGGCGCTCCTGCTCGAGCGTTGCGCGGTTGCGGTTGCGACCCCCCCCCGCAACGCCTCCCGGGGCACCAGAATCACGTCCTCGTCAACAACAACAACAACAACAACAACAACAACAACAACAACAACAACAACAACAACAACAACAACAACAACAACAACAACAACAACAACAATTACTAGCACGTGGGGACACTCCGTTCTCACCAGTGCCAGGGTTTTCATAGGAGGCGGGCAATACCCCCACTTTGTGGGGGGGCCGGTTCAAGCTCTACCAAATTTCCAAACGACTCTTCGCCACCACCCACACCCAGCTTCCCGCCCTATGACGTTCGGACACTTCACTTCGTGGCATGCGGACGACCGTGGCTACTATTCAGGGCCCCGCGGCCGACGACGACGGCGTGCGCGCGCGAAGAAAAAACGAATGTGTCCCGCATGGTATTATTTGACAGGGATGATGGCCCTGGCAGGTGCGCAACCGTTGTTGCAGAAGTTCGAAAAAGTTGCTCGCAAAAGCCCGTTTGACAGAAATGTTTAAAAAGTGTTGGGTTTCCTACGAATCCGCAAGAGCGCGCGGGATGAAATTTTGACATTTTTTTTTGAAAAACCATTGGTTTTTTGATGTTTTTATGTTAAAATCGCTACGAACAACTAAGGTTTTGGAAGGATTTCGTCTTGCGCGCGCGAATGTCCACTTTACCTTATTTTTTGCAAGGGATTCTTGAAGTTTGGTTATGTTAGAACAAGAAATGTCCACTTTAGCTTATTTTTTGCAAGGGAAAACGGGGGACAACAAAACAACCGGATCCGGACACCCACGTTTTGCCTGAGACTTCCTCACGAAAATGATGAAAATGTGGCTGCGGCCTAGGCGCGGCGAGGGGGCCGCGCACCAGGGGTCCCAACAATAATTATTCTTTAGAATAAATAATGTTCAACAACAACAACAACAACAACAACAACAACAACAACAACAACAACAACAACAACAACAACAACAACAGCAGCAGCAGCAGCAGCAGCAGCAGCAGCAGCAGCAGCGCCAACAACAACAACAACAGCAGCAGCAGCAGCAACAGCAACAACAGCAACAGCAACAGCAACAATCATTATAAGACTGTTCGCTCTTGTCTGCTCGCGTGCCTTTCAACGCGTATATTCCAAACCCTTGCTACCCGCCCTCTTCGTCTTCGATCGTACCCCCCTTGAGGGGGATATCTCGCCTACCTCCCGCGTGTGGTTGGCGCAGCCCCCAAAACAGGGGAAGGAGAGGAGGAGGGAAGAGACAAGGGGGAGGAAGATGGATGGAGCACGAGAGAGATTTGCAGGAGGGTCAGGAGCAGGAGTACAAGCGGCAGAACAAGACGGGCTGGTCGGACAGGCAAACCCTGACGGGCAGGTCGGGCGGGCGGGCCGAGACGGCCGGGTCGTGCGGGCGGGTCGCTGAAACGCCAACCCAACATGAATCGCAACGAAATTTCGAGCGAAGAGCGATTTCCGGGTAAATCGTGAGGACACGAAGAATGAGAGCGAAATTCCTGAGTCTTGGAGAATGGCACAACAATCAATTGTGAGGAAATGCCACGTGCGAGCGCGAGTCCTGCATACAGTATGAAGACGTCCCGCGCGAGAGCGCAATGTTTCAACCAAATTGTGAGGAAATATCTAGCGAGAGCCAATTGCTGTTGAAAACCCAGGGTCAACAAGGCAGTCTGAGGACCAAGACCTTCCGTCGTAAAAGCAGGTTACGAGCCCCAGGAGGACCACTTATATTGAAAAACATTATGTGCCCGAGGGGGGATCAACAATAGTTGTTGCTTAGGAAAGAGAATTCAACCATGAATATAGAGGGTGTGCAAATATAAGATCTATGAGCGTGTATACACAAATACATGCATATTTGCGTTGTGCCAGGCAAAAGTCCAGGGGAGGAAGACAACACCACTCGCGAGCCAAAGCGGTGAGCGCCTGCATGACGACGCGTTCTGGGAAGCGTTTCTGCAGGTCCTTGAAGCGCTCGACCTGGCGTCCGCATTGCCATCCTTCCGCCGAGGTCTCTCGGCCTCCACAGGCTCAAACATGTCCCCATCATTTCTCACACTCCTCCCTGACTCTCCCCCCCTTCTCCTCCGCCCTCCCTCCCACTCCTCGCGCATCCTCGCTCATTCCTCCCTCCTCTCTCACTCCTTCCAGCTCGTCCCTCCCTCCTTCCTTGTCCTCCGTCCTCCTCGTCCTCCTTCTCCTCCTCTGCCTCCGCCTCCGCCTCCGCCTCATTCTCCTTGCCCCCATTCTCTCCTGGGCGGAAGCAACCATTCACACACTCATGCCCGCCAACGTGTCCGCTTCTGGAACAGACTCGGCCGCCTTCTCTTACATATAAGGCAGACGCGTAAATTACAGCCTAACGCACTCTAGGAGTCCTGGTGCGCACCAGAGACCAGCCCTGCCTTCTGGCCGAGCTCTACAAACCAACCCGCTTGGCAAGACTCACCCACGGCCAAGTCACAGAACACGTTTGCAACAGATGCCCACCGAATGGGTATCGACCCACGCCCAAGTCACATAAGATGTTTGAAACAGAAGCCCACCGAATACGTATCGCACCCGCCCCTTGAATTCCATGGTATTGCCTCATCATCATCATCATCATCATCATCACCATCATCATCATCATCATCATCACCACTACCACCATCACCATCATAACCACCACCACCACCACCATCGCCACCACGACCATCATCATCAGCAGCAGCATCATCATCAGCATCATCATCAGCATCATCACCATCACCATCACCATCATCAGCAGCAGCATCATCAGCATCATCAGCAGCATCAGCGTCAGCATCATAATCATCATCATCATCATCAGCAGCATCACCAGCAGCATCATCATCAGCAGCAGCATCATAATCATCATCACCGGCAGCAATATCATCAGAATCATCATCATCAGCATCATCATCGTCGTCCAGTCGGCCCCGAAAACCGCACGGCACAGCGGCACAGCACGGCACCAAAAGACCAGCGTTCCGAGCCGACCGGCGGTGCAGTGCGGGCGCAAACAGCCCAGCTCAGGAGTCGGGCATATGAGGCCCTTCAAAAAAACGATAAAGGAGGGAGACAAAAAGAGAGCGAGAGAGAGATCTAAAAAATGAGAGGGAAGAAGAACAACACAGGGAGAGACCCTAATTTGGTGATTTCCCCACGCGCCCCCCCCCTCACACAAAGCCGACGAAATCATCAAACTAGGGCGGAACGGTCGCAAAACCTGGCCCGCGCAGGCCCCAGCGCCCGCGTAGAAAACGCCCATGGGACGCCCGCGCACAGACATACACACACACACACACACACACACACACACACGCACGCACGCACGCACGCACGCACGCAGGCACGCACGCACGCACGCACATATACACACACACACACACACACACGCACACACACGCACGCACGCACGCACGCACACACACACACACACACACACACACACACACACACACACACACACACACACACACACACACACCACGCACGCACGCACGCACGCACACACACACACACACACACACACACACACACACACACACGCATATATATATATATATATACATACATCTCTGACCCTTCTCCAGCGGCCCAGAGACCCACTTCAGAGGGCTGGTTAGATCCTTCGCTGGGGGATCTCTTTGAACCTTCTCTTTTTGACGTGCGCCAGGCGAGCAGAGCGAAAAGGTTCCTTCCGAAGGGATACTCGGTCCGCGAGTACACCTGAGGATTCAACAAAGGCTTTGGCAATCACAGCCCAGAACAGACTAAGGGAGGGAGAGGAGGGAGACTTGAGCGAAATAGTTACAGACAGGCAAGCTGACAGAGGCGGGCCTCAACGAAGCGAGAGATATAACAATCAAAGATTAAAAACATCTCTGACCCTTCTCCAGCGGCCCAGAGACCCACTTCAGAGGGCTGGTTAGATCCTTCGCTGGGGGATCTCTTTGAACCTTCTCTTTTTGACGTGCGCCAGGCGAGCAGAGCGAAAAGGTTCTTTCCGAAGGGATACTCGGTCCGCGAGTACACCCGAGGATTCAACAAAGGCTTTGGCAATCACAGCCCATACCGTGATCTATTACTGGAGGGCCTCCTGAAAGCACTGAAAGATGGAGGCCTCCGCAGCAGCGGCTCGCCTCGCGAGCTCGGAAGGAAGACGGGCGGCCTGGAGAAGAAGGCGGCCGCTCTTCTCGTATCGTTTCACGGACTTGGCGTGGGCCCAGCGCCCGCGCTTCTGAACAACTGCTAGACTGCGAGCGCGCACCAGCACGTCGTGACTAGGCGCTGAATGACGGGCCACGCGGGGAGTGAGGTGCCCTACCTTGCCGAGAACAGAGCGACTGTATTTCCTAAAAAGTGCTTCATACTTGGCTAGAGACAGGTGCGGGAAGACTAGCTGATCAGAACAGGCGTCAGACTTACGGCGCCTAGCCCACATCGCAAGCACGGAACGTACCCACTCGCGGCCGATAGAATCGAGAACCACAGTGTCATCACTCTCGCCAGTCTTCGTGGTATCACTGAGGTCTGAGTTTCCAATGACAACAGCCCACTTGTTTCTTGACATTGAAGATGAGAGCTTCGAAGGCTGGACCACGGAGCACCACCGCAGTTCGCATATCTCTGAAGGTCTCAGGTAGGCATCGAGTTGGATGGCCAGGGCGACGGCAGCCTCGGTGTGACTGTCCTTCAGAAAGACACTCATGAACAAGTAGAAAACCGAGAGCGGCCACGGATGTCGTGAGGAGCCAGGGAACCTGCGGACCCAGCCCTTCATCGCCTCACGAGCCATCGCGAGCCGGGCGGACTTGACGATGTCCGACCGCGGGAAGAAAGTCAGATACCCCCAGAGTGTGTACCTTCCTTCAGCGGCATGCCGAGCGTCACTCATGAGAACATCGAAGTACTTGCACATTTTCTGATCGATAACGGACTCTGGAGCTTGTCTGAGGTCATCTGAGTGCGTCGCCCAGTCGAAAAACTCGCGAGCTGCGGTCCCATATCGCTCGAGCGACGTCGAGGTGATTGAGTCAAAACGGGCGACACCTCCATCCACAGGGACTGGCGCCTTCGGCCCGAAGCTCAGGCTGCGGCCCTTGATTGCCTCTATGAAACTAAAGACGCGGGAGCGGCGGCCAGCGACCTTTCGGGCCTTTCCTCGAGCGGGCTGCCTGTTTCCTTGCTGCCTCGAGGTTGGAGTCCTGACCGAAGACGATGAAAGGCCGCAGGTGGTCAAACCTGCTCTCGAGATCGCCTGAGTCGGCGGCGCCAGCGAGCCCGAGGTCAGGCTCCGCTTGAAGCCGCTGCCGAGCTGGTCGGAGGCGCTCGCGGGCGCGCGAAGCCGGCCGTCGCGCAGCATCGCGAAGCCGGGCCTCCAGGTCCCCGCCGTCAGGTGCGCCTGAGCCGCCCCGGGCCCCCGCGGGCGCTGACATGCCCGCGGCCAGGGCCCATGCCTGACAAAGACTGCGGGGGTAGGCTCCAGCGCCTGCCGTACGATTGCGAGAAACACGAGCCCCAGATGGCAACGTCACGGTCTCGAAACCCCTGAGCTCAACATGTGAATGATCTCTGGAGCACACCGAAGCCAAGGAACTCAGGGCTGAAAGGTTAGTGAAAATCGCTGTCGGCTTCATGCGTGAGGCCCCGTAACTACAGTGTACCAGACACACGCGAATAACGTCAGGAAGGTCAGTGAGCTCTCGAACGGGGTCGAAGTCCCAAAGTCTGGAAGATCTCGGATTCTCAATGCCCCAGAAGACGCCGTTCCGCGAACACTCATAAGCAACACGGCAGCTGAACAAGGCGAGAGCTACACACACACGCTCCTTGTACGCGGCTTTCTCATAGTTAGCGATGTTGTGACGAGCCCGAGACCACACGCAACAAGGCGTCCCAAGATGTACATACCAGAAGCGCCCTTTTCGGATGTCCTCTAAGATGATGTTCTGGACCTTCGGGCCCAGGAGGTCATGGTGAGCCCCATCTTTGATGTCCATGCAGGGGTAAGTTGGCAGGCCGAGCTCCTCGAACGCCTTGGAGAGCCCACCCTCGCCCGAGAACAGCTCCAAGAAACCCTGGCCCTGCTGGGCCCGCCTCCGAAGCTGAGCGTGCCCAAGACGTAGAGGGGAACAGGCGGTCCGACTGGTCACCGAAGGTGCTGGAGTAGAAGACGGACAGGACGCTCGACGCAGAGAAGCTTCGATTTCCTCGGGAGGCTGCAAACCCAGATGCTTGTCGCTCTCGGCCGCGGCGGGCGGGTGCCCTGCGAGACCGAGTCCAGGGGGCAGGCTGCCCGTCTTGACTACAGCGTTCAAAGGGAAGTAAGAGGGAGAAGATGATGTCATGTCTGTCGAACTCTGTCTGTTGCATCCTTTGTCGGGGGAGTTGTGCTCGAACCGACGAGATGGAGCGTCGGCCACGTTAAACTTCGCGTTGACATACCGCAGCCTCCAACGCACTCTACAACCGATTGTGTAGGCCGCAGCTCGCCGGCACTGCGCGTTCAAAGCTGCTGAGCGGCTGGGCCGCCCTTTGTCCAGGCAGCCAACACATACCATGGAGTCCACGAGAGAAACTAGGCGGCGTCCGCAATTCTGGCGAACGCGACAGGCATGCCGCAGCCCCATCACAGCAGCGCGGGTCTCCTTCACATTGATGTGCTCTCCAGGCCAGCGCCAGCGCCTCGCCGCTACCAGCTCGAAGCCCTCCGAGTCGAACCAGGGGGCGGGCAGCGGCGGCGCCAGAGGGCCCACCTGACCGAGGCACTCGGCGTCGGGATCCTCAGGGTCGGCTGGGCGCCGCCGCAGACGGCGAGGGCGAGGCCGGTGAGGTCTGTCGGAGGCAGAGCCCTCCTCCGCCTTGCTCTGCAGCCACTGGCCGAAGGCCGTGGCAGGGGCGGAGCCAGCGTTCGGCTCGGCGGAGCGGCAACGGGGCTCCACCTCGTGATCCAGCTGCGCCTCGTCTGCCTCCTTGTAGCCGCCCATCTCAGCGACATCAGCGGCCGAAGTCAGACCAACGCGGGGGCCTCGGAGGTGCTGCCTGAAGCTCCACTTCTCCTTCCCGACCGAGGCCCTCTTGTACATCAGGCCGTGCCCGTTGTCGGCGGAGTCGCTGGCATAGACGTGCGGCACGTAGGGCGCAGCCAGGTCGACCTCAGCGAGCCAGACCAGCCCAGCGACCAACCTCATCTAGTGCATGACCTCGCGCGGCAAAGGGGTCCGAACACCCCAGGCGGCCTCGGCGAACCGGTACGTGGCTGAGAGCGCGGCGTACCCAGGCCTGGCCAGCATCAGCAGCGATACAGCGTGGCCCAGCCAGACCTCCATGCGCCCCCCTCGCATCTTGCCACGACGCAGGAGAGCGCGGGTGGCCAAGTCAAAGCGCCACACTCGGGAGGCCTTGTTGCGAAGCCTCCCCCTCTTGAGGTCGATCTCAACGCCCACGGTCTCGAGGTGGGTCACCACATCAGGATAGGACCACGTGATAGGCAAACCAGATCGGTCAGCTTCAGCCTGCAGGGCGGAGCTTGCCTCACGAGCCAAAGAGGCGTCCCTGCCGAAGACAGCGACGTTGTCCACGTAGACGCTGCCCATGACCTTGGACTCATTCAAGTCGGGGGCGGGATGGTGCTCCTTCACCATGGCAGGCGTCGGTAGAGACGACGAGCGCAGCGCCCGCTCTGTCATAGCGGACACGGCCTCCTGCGCAAAGTACAGAGCCCAGGACCACCCCATGCACATAGCGCGCATGCACGGGTACAAGACCATGTCGTCTTCCACGGAGACCATCATGCTCAGCTCGGGGTCCCAGAACGCTCCGACATTGATGCCGCACGTGTCCCTGATCTCGGCGGCGGGCAGCGGGTCGTCGAAACCGAACCACTCCGCCAGGCCATCGATGGCGAAGTTGTAGAAGCAGTCCTCGACATCGGCCTCGTTCCCGCGGGGGCCCCAGCCTATCACACTGCCGACGCCGTCGACGGACTCGCCACCCACGGAGAGGTCGAGGTCCGCCAGGGCCCCAGCTGAACCGAGTCTTGAAATCGAAGGGGCACGATGACACAAATTGGCCTGTCTAGCACCCAATCATTCTAATATCACCTGGTTTCTTTTTCTTCACAAAGAAAAGGGCAGCGCGAGCTCGGAGTCGACGCCTGAAAGTCACCAGCCCCAGCTCATACAGCACCCTGAAGAGTCGCCAACGCTCTGTCCGACTCGAGCGAAGCACGGGAGCCCAGTAAGGACGAATAGGATCGGCGTGCTGGCGCATGAACTCCATCTCCCCCTCATCCTTCTCGATGTACAGCGCAGGGTTGCGGATCATGTCCGCAGGCAAAGGTGGCAAGAAGTTAGCCACAGAGCGAGGTCGAGCGCGCCCCTTTGCGACCTTGAGCTTTGTCAGATCGAACGGCGCGAGGTTCTTCGGCTCCTGGCAGCACAGGTCCTTAGAAGCCAGCAACGGCCCCCTCGGCCGTCAGGCCAGGCGGGGGGGGGCCCCACAGCGGCAACGCGCTCCGTGATGCTGCCCAAGATCCATTCCTGAACAACGGCAGTCGGGGCCCGAGATGACTGGCGAGCCTGGTAAACACTATCTGAATTCGGTTGAGCAGCAGCGAGATGGTCGAGCGAAGCCCGCGCCGAGAGTGCTCGCTGTCGCTGCTCGAGGCCCAAGCCCGAGCTGTCGAGCTGAGAGGGCAAAAAATGCGGCAGAGGGAAAGGGTCCCCGCGCCTCCGTCTTGAGGGCCTCCACCGGGTAGCATGTCCCCGATCCGTAGCAGAAGCGTCGGGCCGAGCTCGGGGATCAGACTCGGCCTGGAAGGCCGCGGTCACCCCGGGGCCTCCTCCTCGCCCTTGCTCCCCTTCTCGCCTCTGCCGCGCCCGCGACCACGGCCTCGTCCTCGGCCTGAGTCTGCGGGGGCACGAGAGTTCTGCATGGCCCGCTGCTCCTCGTTCCACAACCGAGTCTGCTTGTAGATCGCGGCCTGCTCCTTGAGACGGCCCGTGACCCACTCCGTGACCCTGTTCGTGCTCGCCTGGCCCTGTTCGGCGGTCGGAACGCGAAGCAAAATCTCCAGCCCACCGTATTCAGGATGGCGAAGGTTGCGAGCCACTGCGGTCTCGTCCTGGCAGATCCTGCGCATGATGAGTTCGAAGCTCAACAAGTTTGTCACATCGAGCTGGTCTGTCTGAATGGCCAACCGAACCGACTCGCACAGCACATAATGAATGTGGGCCACCGCCGAGGACTCGCTGACCCCCGAACGGCGAACCCACTGTCCGTGATAAGAAGAAAGATCTCCAGGGCCATTCCGAACTGAAACGAGCCACTCCTTAGCAACTCGCGGCCCAGGCATGGCCCAATCGTCGAAGCTCGTCTCGCGCATCAGGGATACAGCGTCCGAAAGCGGAAGATGACGGCGGCCTGCGGAGTCCCGATGGTCGCCCAACGTGCGGAGGTCTCCTCCCTCCGAGCTGCGCGAGGCCATCCACTCCTGTAGCTGGTTGCTCTGAACCTTTCCCACCAACACCTCAAGGCCGTTCACCAGCGCCACGCCCTTGGACTGGCCCAAGGTAGCCTGGTCTAACTCTGCATCGACCAGGGGCTGGGCAAACCGAGAGTGACCTACCTCCGCGACGACCCAAACGAAGTTCTCCATCTCGACGTCATGGTCGCCGTCGCCCAATATTGCCGCCTGAACTGCGGCTTGCCTCTTCAGAGCCAGAATCTCAGCTCGAGGCACAGGGTCGAAGCCGTAAACCTCGCCTCGGCGATTCGCAGGGAACATCGAATTGCGGTCCAGGACCAGGTGGCGCTGCTCCAAGAGGTTGTGACGCACGAGCTCCAGGTCGGGGGCGATCGCTATCCACACCCCCGCTGTGATCTTCTTCACAAGAATACGGTGATGCCAGAACATGCCTCCCTCATCATTGGGATAGTGCACGAGTACTTGGGGTTCTGGGATGTCCAACGTGTCCATTGTGCGAACCGACAGTCACTGAGGAAGCCGAGTCCGACGAGCCACCAAGCACTTCACGAACGCGGCTGAGCAACCCTCGAAGGACTCCAAAGGCCAGCACCGCGGCCCAACTCACCACAACGCCGATGAGAATGCCCACCGTCAGCCAGAAAGCCCAGGCGCACGGGGTCGAAGGCGCCGTCGACGGGCACTCGGTCGCCTCGGGCTGCCTCCCACATCTCAAAGCAGGGCAGCCTGGGCAAGGCGGGCACGACCCGCAAGTGACAGCGGCTGACGCGGGGCACGCTGGCACCGCGGGACAAGGAGGAGCTGCTGGGCACCTGCTGAGGTATGAAAGCAGGCCGTTGACAGCTAAATCTTGGAGACGCTGCTGCCACATCGGCCCTCAAGACTTGAGCGAAATAGTTACAGACAGGCAAGCTGACAGAGGCGGGCCTCAACGAAGCGAGAGATATAACAATCAAAGATTGTATATATATATATATACATATACACACATGCACACATACGCTGACGCACCCGACACAGGCAGACAGGCAGGAAGGCAAAAAGGAGGCAGGCAGACTGGATTGACAGACAGGCGAAGCGAAAATGTAGAGAGAGAGAGAGAGAGAGAGAGAGAGAGAGAGAGAGAGAGAGAGAGAGAGAGAGAGAGACAAAAAAGGAGAAAGAGAAAGAGAACGAGAAAGAGAGACAGAGAGAACAAAAAAGGGGGGAATGACAAAGAAAAACAAAGGAGAGATGGCGATTTTCCAACGCGCCCCCCCCGCCGCCACACAGAGCCGACAAAATCACCGAACTAGGGCGGAGCGGTCGAAGAATCTGGCCCGCGGAGGGCGGGCGTGAAATCCTCGTCGACCGTGGTTTATTATCTAGGAATGAGACCCAGGCTAATATCCATTTGAGGTCCATCCTGGGCCCGCGGGACCCTGGCGGCCCCAGGCCGCAGCACGCACTGCGCACCCCGGGTCCCCTGAGTGGCGCCTGCGTCTTGCGCGCATTCCAGCGCCCGCCGGAGTTTCCCGGGGAGGCCCCCAGGGCGGCGCAGAGGTTCCCACGGGGCCTCGCCCCAAGCTGCTCCAGGCAGGTCCCCCCCCCCCCTTTGCTCCTGCTGTTCCTGCTTCTGCTCCTCCCGTTCCCCCCCCCCCAGCGCTTCTCCCCCCATCCTCCTCCTCGTCTCCCCCCCCGCTTGTTCCCCAAACCCTTGCGCCATTGCAACACACCGCCCTCTCTTGGAGGACCCCACCCGAGCCGAACACAAAGCACTCGAAGAACCCTCCGAAACATCACTCCAGCCGCGGAAACCTAACCCAGCACGCTTCCCATGGAGCTACCCCAGCACACCTTTTCCGCTTCCGTTTCCAATGTTCGGCCTTTCCGTTTCCAGTGTCCGCCTTTTTCTAGGGCTGGGGAACAGCCTTTCCAGGGTTGGTGGGTGCTCAGGATTCCAAGGTTGGGACCTCGTTTCTCGGGTTGGGAATTTAACCAGGTTCTGGCGGGCGCCAGGGATGTGGCCCCCGCGGGGTGGGAACCAAAAGAATGCACCCAAGAGGGACGGCAGGCGACCAGTTCTCGCCAAACTGAGATCCGCGCGCGGAAACTCCACCGACCCCAACGGCCGCGCGCGGGAGACAACATGGACAGAAGCGCCCTGCAACCCATTCCCACGACGCCCCAGCAAACTGGACCGAGGAAGAATGGGACAGATGGCTCCTGGATCAAATACAGACACTGGGCCATCTGCCAGGCACAGGACGCACCCTCAGGAACTTCCCGCACCCATGGTTGCGGCACTGCGCCAGGCCTCGAGGTTCACCGCGGCAGGCCCCAATCAACTACATCAGGGCGGCCCCACCGACATTCTTCATCCAGAACTACCAGAGTATATGGAGGTCGCAAGGGAGTTCGAAGACGTGGATATCCCTGAAGAGGGCGACGACGGCATTGACAACGACGGAGCTGACGCGGGCGGCGACAAGGACCCACATGACCGAGCACATACCAGCCCATGGGCACCACCAGGCCAGCGGTCCACGGGGAGATCCAAGCTCCGATGCAAAATCAGACGCTCGTGGATGGCAGCGCCAAACAATAAGCTTTACCAGCCGCCCCGTTCGGCCGCAATGACTATTCACAGCTCAACAGAACAGACTGGATGGCTAAGAATAGACATCACCTGCCCAATCACGTCTCAACCACCAGCGCCACATATTGGGACATATTGGCCGGGCTTGCACATCGGGTCGACGTGGAAGGACACGGGGACGCGCTACGCTGCAGCATGCACATCTCCGACGCAGTGGATGGACACGTGGATCTCGACCCACGGCACCGTCGTTTCGCGCCGAAATGCGGGGGGGAAGAAGAAAGATCGGTGCAATGGAGGGCGCCCTTGAGGCGCTCCGTCGCGGCAGAAACCACGAAAAGGCAGTGAGGGCTGCGGCGCTGCGCGAAGAAGGCCCCCCCTCGGCCGCCGCCGGACGGGCGACTGGGGCGCGGAGAAAAATCGGAGAACGGTGGAACATCGCCCCCAATACCATGGACCCAGCCCCGAACCAGCTAGTCTGGGCACGATGGGAAGACATGCCCAAACTTGACCTGGTGAAGGCCCTCCAAACTCTGGTGCGAATGCATCCTTCGCACGCGAGCGCGTAGAGACACCATTGCGCACACTGCCCCACCCCAGAGCAGCGCTTCTCGGATCAGGCGTTCCACAATCGGGACTCGCCGATCAGTTGGATCCGCAACGCCTACCACGCTGATCAGATGCCACTGGACGGGCGCCCAAGGAACGACCGCTTTCATCTCATGCAGCGCGCGCTGTCACAGCGCGCGAAGTGGCTGATAGTGGGGAACTGGCCAGACGGACAGGCGGATGGCCCGCGCGATGCCGTCTGGCAGCAACACATCATGGACGACTGGTCGCCCGACAGGGAAAGCGACCAACCCCGCCACGAAGTCAGGACCCTTGACAGTTTCTCGGCCAAGTCCGCTACCAACGACGCGCTGTGGGACTGTCAGAACACACTTCAGCAACTGGCCAAGGCAGGGACGGAGGACGCTCAAGACATGACCCGTTCCTTTCGCACGGCTAAACATCCCGAGCTGGGCGGACATCTGCGGATATACAATGACGTGTACTCTAGCAAATTGAACACTGGGAACTGAAGGCACTGCCAGATCGGCCCCGCCAAACGGGCCCAGAAGCCAACGCGCATGCGCGCCAGGTTGCGACGGGACATTGCGCAGGACGGTTCCGACACCACGAAAGCAACCAACATGGGGAGCTGGACGTCGGATGGGAAATAGAGCGCTCCGACCTGAATCCACCCCAGTGATTGGGCCCGGGCGGGCGGGCACCCCACCCACCGATTCCGCGGGGCGCGGCGAACTCTCGCGGGCGCGGTGGCCCACCACATCGGTACGAGACACAATCCCACCCCCACCGGGGGCCGCTGGGCGGCCCGCGTAGTCGGCGAAGTCATCGCAAACACAGGTCTGGGCCCACAAAGGCAAGAAGCGCAACTACTGCTTCGTTTTCTCCGACGCGACGGCGCTCGCAGACCTGGGATAAGGGATCTGTCCGAGAACGCACCGTGGCACTCCCATGGCACGCACGCACGCACGCACGCACGAACTCACACACGCGCACACACACACACACACACACACACACACACCACCGATCGCCATCCGGATTGCGCCACTCAACTAACAGGGAACACTGAGGCCCCCAGGACTGCATTCACACGGGAGCATGACTGGTCACCCTTCGAGGAAGCGCTCCAACGAGGGGACCGAACCCCTGCGGGCCGCGCGCCAGCATGGGACTGGGCACGAACCAAAGACAAGCGCAGGGAGGCAAGTTAGCGGGCAAGGGGACAGGTGGCCGCACGCACTGACGGCAATCGGCAGCGAGACCACTCACCAGTCGAGCAAGGAGACGAACTGACAGGCAGAGACCCCGACGAGCAGAGCCGCCCACGTAGAAACCAGCACCAGACGACGACAACAACCAGCCGAAACTGGCTGCATTCGCTCGGCATCTTCAACGAAATACTAGCGCGGAGCGGGGCGCACCCGATTGGAGATCCACGTGGGACCGTCGGACGCACATTCACCACCGATCGGACAGATTCGCGTCGGCGGTCAAGGACCCTGGGTCAATGAGCACAACGCAGCTACAGGCTTTAATCAGCGCCAACAATCTGCATGCGGAATCCCTTGAGTTCACCACAAATTCCACGGCTCGCGCAGCCCCCCCTGGCGACGGGAGAATCGCGGGGGGGCCGGGCCCCGCGTCGCACCAGCCGGTCGAGGCTGAACGCGACCGTCGCCGGTTGTCTCGCAGGCTCAAGCGCAGCAGGGCGCTGAGCTTGCACCCTTCACGACGGCCCCCCCTGCCCCCGGAGCCTCGGAGGCAGCCGATCACAATCCATGGCCCACGCGACCACGCGTGCTCTGCGGCTGCGAGACCTTCAAAGGCTGCACGGGCGCAATCTGAGGAGGCTGCCAATCGCGCGCCACACATCTCCCCCCGGAGACACGCATTGGTTACGCCGCGGATCGCACCCCACTCGAACAGCGGCTGCCAAGGCAGGGAGCGCCAGTCTGCGCGACCTGCGCAGGCGGTATAGACGCGCGCTTTGCTTGCAATGGTTTTCGTTGGCCTGCCCCCCTCTCCACGCCACTTCCACTCGCGGCGTTTCGCGGCGCGTCATCGCCCAAGAAGTAGCGCACGCCAGGTGGGGCCAGCTCCTCTACGAAACCACCCGGAGGACTTCGGCGAGGCCACGCGCGGACCTCGGCCCGGCAACGACGGCGGGGTGCAAGGGGTGCCAGGTCATCAGAAGGATACCCAATGAAGCATGGGTTTCTGGGCAGCGTGCGCCATCGTGCGTCACGCGCAACACGACGGATGGCAAATCCCACTTCTGCC